AGTCCCCCCCCTCTCTCTCTCCCCCCAACCCCCCTCTCTCTCCCCCCCCGTGTGCTCTATCCTCGAAGCTAAGGACTGCTGGTATGTAAGATTCACCAACAAGTTCGGCGACAACAAACAAAACGACATAATATTCTACTCACTCGATGACCATGAACTGCTAGTTCTATTGCTGAGACCAAGCTTTGTGGGCACGGTTAGCTTCTGCGCATCAAATGTCTCTATAATATCTATATACCATAGCATATGGTTCATAACGTGCAAATCGAAGTGACTTGGATCAGTTGTTTCAAAAACACGAGGGAATGACTAAACACAACTTCCACTCCCTCGTAATAGGTGCAAGAGAATGCAATAACGTAGGGAGACAGTAACCCAGTGGTGAATCCCCCCCCCCCCCCCCCCTCCTCTAACTGTGCTCCGCTTTCCTTGCAGAAAGATTCTTGTCAGGAAAGAAAGGATCAACTACTGCCCCAGCACAGCCGGAGTGCGGGGCTATCTAAATGAGTTATCTTATCCGGCAACACTTTATTACCCTGCGGTCGAGCAATGCCAGGCAGGAAATACACCCCAAGATTTGCGCAAATTTGTGTGAATTCACACCAACTTGCAAGATCAGATTAAAGGAGCAACAGCAGTCCTACGCAAGTACCAAGGAAAGCCTTCTGTCAAACACATCAAGCCCGCCAACTTCACTTTGGGCACAAATAAACAATGCCGGCAGCCAAACCCCTTTTCAAAAGCAGGAATGCATCCAATATCCCACTGCTGAGGAAACCATTCTCCCCCAGATGCCCACATTCGAACCAAATCCTCGAACCGAATCCATCCTTGTGATCCCTAACTCGTCGGAAAGCACAGTTGTCGATTTGCTACAGCTGCAGTGAAGGACAGTGCTCATCCCCAATCCCCAATGCACTTGGCGAGGAGAGTGCTGGTTTCGTGGTACCTCCACGAAGACAGAGCAACCCTAGTCTACATCTGTTCGCATAAGAGATATGCTGTTGTTTTCCACTATCCGATCCGCACCAGGCCTTCCCACACCCCCAAAAGGCAGTATGGTTGCAACAGCATGGGCCAACCAAATCTGCTCCAGGAACCTTACTGGGGATGAGCCACCGGAGCCCCACTCACACGACTTGGCAGGGCCGTGGGGGGAAGATGCATCAGACTGCGGAACAGCCTCGGGGAGAAATGTTTAGTTGCCCTATACCGCAGAGAACCAAAAAACAATCAGGGCCGACTCGGCCGAGCCATTAGATAGGAAAGCGTTTCCAGCGGTGCAATCTTGAGAGTGCTTTCTCAAGCGCAGTATTCGGCGACTTTGAACAGGTTTCGTTTCGATGGATCTCGGGCATCGACTTTGCAGGGTTGCAGAGCCCTGCACAAGTAGGCATATCCCAGACAGCAATGGAATCTGGGGCACATGAGGAATGACACAACCTCCGCTCATCTTCGTACTGCACGTTCATCGTCAGCATCCACAGACCCACAGTTACATCCTCATTTGCCAGCATTCGCAAGCTGCCGCTGGGCAAAGCAACTATGCTCGACACCACCTGATTAGATAGAATGTACATTGGGCCCCAAGCATGAAGGAAGTACTCGCGGCCTAACATGAATGCATCCGGTTCAAACCATTTATACCTGCGGTCAGTTATCACAGGGCCCTTCTTCATGCAACCGATATACGTCCTGTTGTTTGTCCGCTCCTTAACGAGAAGTACCGCCAGCCGATCCAAGCGCAGGTAGATGTCATCGTCGGCTTTCACGTAGTACTCCGCATCAGTGTGTTTGTACGCCTCTTTAAAAAACGCGAGCGTTTTTTGATTCAGATCGGCGTACGTGTCGTGGATGCTGACCCTCAAGAAGCCTCCAAACTCGTCCATTTCTTTCTGCAGCTGCTGTTCTTGATAGTCATCGTCTGTTGTGCCGATAACGAACCGTATGACCAATCCTAAAGACTTCTCCAGCTTCCGTACGTTCTGCTTGGACCCATACAACCACGTTTTCCGAATCGCTTCTCTGCGTGCATAAGATGCGAACCCAGTCTGGATCCCAACAAACCCCAAAACTCGCCGCCGCTCACCCACCTTCGGTTCATCTTCGACAATCTCATCCGCAATCCTCAAATATTCTTCTACTGAAGTTACACCAGAGGACACTCCTCCACCGCTTGTCCCATCGTGCATCCTTACAGGACCATCGCTTGGAAATCCTGCTTCCTCGTTAAAAAGACCCAGTGCTTGAATATGAGACGAACGGACAACAAAAATTATGGCGACTCCCAACATCAGGCCGGTGCACACCATTGCTATTCTCCTCTTTGCGGCGGAGACATCTTCCTTGCTGCCGCGGCCATGAAAGCGCGACAAGTGCTCCTTTGCGTTTAACCGGCTGCAGATGAGGTCAAGATGGACACACACACAAATAAAATAAGGCTTCAGTAAGGACAACTGACTGCAGAGACGATGAATCTCGCGACTCCAGAATCAGATACCCTATTCAGTTACCAAACTTAGAATGGAATTTCTGCCTCTGCTTTGTTCGCCGTCCCCCTCCCTGTCCCTCACTCACACAAATACATGCATACACATCACAATACGTGCATGCACTTACACACAGTAACCACCAAAAGAGGGTGGCAGCAGTCCCAAACTGGCAAACAGCTCAATGCATGCGCTTACACATAGCAACCACCAAAAGTGACTTGCTGAGATTCTCGCATTCTGCTGAGATAGATTTCTAAGTACGTGTGTGTGCATGATTGCTGAGTTTCGGTGTGTTTGTCTGACTGCAAGATTGCTTGGGTGTGTGTGAGACCCGCCAGGGTGCTTGTACGCTGGAAAGGCTCTTGGGCCTGGCACCTACCTGTGGCCGTGCTTTTGTGGGGTTGCACCGTTACAGTGTGAATGTAGTCGTGGGCTACCCATGCTGCATAAGATGGAAAATACTCGAAGAGCGGATAGGTAGGCAAGGGCCTGCAGCGAAGGAATTTTAGAGTCCAGTCGGCTTTTAGGGTATAGGGGTACCACTCCAGTAGTCTGAGTCAAGGGCCTGCAGCGAAGGATATCAGCCCGCAATGATGTTTCCCTCTGAAAGGAGGAAGGTACCGGTAGCTCTGGTAAGACCGTAAAAAGCTTTTGGACGAAAGAATCTGATGGCTATGGGGAGACTGGGCCACCCGGATAGACAACCGAACCCCCACTATAGCCCTCACCTTCAGAAAGAGAGAAGGTGGACAGGACGACTGGCTTCTGATGGATTGGTTTGACATCGAAGACCCAGGGGCAACAGGACAAGTAGGGTGGCGTGGAGAACTGAAGGTGCAAGTACGCCTAGCATCATGTTTGCTTTCGGTGACCGAACTTGAACGTTGGCAACCGAACGCGAATGAGCGCCAAAACCCTCCAAACGCGAACATAAAAATATTTAAAAATAAAATAAAATTATAGGAAAAATCTGAAAAAAATTCAAAAAAAATAATTGTAATGGCCTGTCAAAACAAAGACTGAGAACACTAGTGATTTCTGAGTTTTGCCGCTGGAATGAATGCCTTGCCGAGATTCCCGTGTTCTGCTGAGTTTTCTAAGTCTGTGTGTGCGCGTGCTTGCTGATCTGCGTGCCTGTCTGAGTGCATGTCGGTCTGAGTGTGTGTCTGACCCACACGGGCACTCGTTCGTTTGGAGGCCCCACAGGGCCGGTACTTACCTGTGGCCGTGACTTTGAGGGTTGAAGCAGGGCAAAACACTCTCAAGTGGCGGGAGTAGGCCCGTGGCACTTAGAGCAGTGGGAAAAACACTCAAGTGGTAGGTAGGCCGGTACCACTCAAGCAGCGGTAGATGTGTCGGGGACTGGAAGCCGAGCAGAAGAAGACAAAAGTTGGCATTTTTAGAGACCCAGTAGTTGATAGGCTAGGTCTAGGCGGGCACCAGTCCAAGTAGCCTGAGTCTAGGGCCTGTGCGGACGATATCAGAGCCTGCAATGATGTTCCCCTCCGAAATAGAGGAGGTACCGGTCGCTTGGAGGCCATGCGGCCTGGAAGTCACCGCCCAAGAGGCAGGTAGGCCGCTATATCTTTCGGTAGAGCACTGGGCTCTACCTCGTTTGCGGTGTGCAAGTTTGGGCGACATGCTGCTTGAGCAAGCGCCAGCCTTCTGGGCGCTGCTGGAAGGACGAGCGTTGGGCAGTCCAGCGCTGGGAGGAGGAAGAAGGCCGGGAGCTTCCACCTCGGATATGGTGGAGCTCTACCCTTAAGGAAGTAGGGGACAAGTGAGGACAGTGGCGAGGTACCTACCTGGCTATGGTGGACGCCATCTTCATCACCTTGTTAGGCGCTGAGTCTGGAAGGCCCCAGTGGGGGTTGCGCCACACCAAGAAGGCTTCGAGGCAGAATCAGGCATGGCAGCCTGAGCAGCAGCGGACATAGCGGCTTTGTGTTGTCTTTTGCACATCAGGGCTAGGCCCTTCTTAGTCCGCCATAGCCTTGGCCTGGTTGAAGAGGAGGAAGGAGGACGCCATGGCTATGGTGGACCTCAGTTGATGCCAAGCAGTAGAAGTGGAATTTGGACATTGATTCTGGTTCTGCCATTCATCATTATTATTGTTATTTATTGTTTGAATAAGAGGGAAGGAGAAAGGAGGAGGAGTCTGGTTGGCGAGGAGGAGGGGGGATTACCATTGGTCTTTGCTGTTGTACATCTTTCTTCTTCTTCTTCTTCTTCTTCTTCTTCTTCTTCTTCTTTCTTTCTTTCTTCTTCCTCTTCTTTATCTCTCACTCCTCTCAAGTTCATTCATTTCTTTTGCAATTGGACGGCATTGTGCTTTCTCGTGAAATTTGCACATCGAAATTGGCCAGGATCGTAACAATACGCTATATAAAATAATAATACAAACAGCTTTTACCTGGGAGGCATGTTCAAATCCTTAACAAAATGTGAGTTAAAATAAAAAAACCTGAAATTTTTTCAACAACAAAAAAAAAAAAGTTCCCGAGGCGTTTGGCCCAACACCCAAACGTGTTCGGGCCTTTGTGAAAGCCCCAAAAACACGTTCGGTGTGATACACAGGTGCAATTTTCTGTCAAACCGGAGAGCTAATGCAGGTCGCTGGTCTGCTCCTTTCCACCGGGCCTAGGGTGCACACTGTCCCACATGGTACTTGCTGACTGGACAAAGTGCAACTGGCAAGGTTGGACTACCCCACTTGCCCACTTGCCTCTAGCCTAACCTGAACAATTCTCAAAAGGCCACTTCCGGACCTTCCGAAGTCTGTAGACTTGGCCTTTCGGAATTGTAGCAGCTACGACCTTGACCTTTCAGGACTGTAGCAGCTACGACTTCTACACAGCTATGACCCCTACTTGACAGACCTACAGTTCAAAATCTGATGACTACACAAACCTACGACAGACAATAGACAACTACCAAGACACAGGTCACGACTTGGTACTGTACACGGGTGAAGGTCTAGGGATCGAGCCCTGGGATCTGTCTCTGCTACTGCAAAGGTGAAAACTGTTTCACTCCCCCCGGCTTAAATCCGAGGTCCTCCGAGAATATGTCAATCTACAGCAGGATCTTTACCTTTCCTCGCTCTTTCATAGGCGCGAATTATATCGGGAGCAGTCTCTAGCTATGAATCCCCCTCGGTGGCAGACAACCGCGGCCAAGTCCGCGGACGGGCGGCTTTGAAGCCACGTGGCGGCCGCGGGAGAGTGACTTTCAAAATTCGGGAGATGCCACGTGGCGGCCGCGGGGGAGTGACTTTCAAAATTCGGGAGATGCCACGTGGCGGCCGCGGGGGAGTGACTTTCAAAATTCGGGAGATGCCACGTGGCAGCGCATCCCCGGCCCCAACCCCCCACACACAAAAAAAAACGAAAAAGATCAACTTTTGATTGGGGGGGTATGGGCAAAATCGAACGAAATTGAAA